CCGGAATTGGTTGAAAACAACCAAACTGCCGGAGCACGCGATCAGTAGAGTGCCACTCGACGGTCGCATAACAGATCAGAAGGATCATCGCCATCCAAACATCTGATGGGCCCCTCAACTCAGGTGGGATCACCGCCCTCACATCATCAGTACAATATGGCACCCATTCAAACTAAAACAAATATTATATAATTTTTATCAAAATAATAATCTAATTATATAACTATAACCTAAAATCGATTTTTAAACATTAAAATTCATACTTTTGTGTCAGCCTTCTGATCGATTAACACCCTAATTTTTTTTTCTAAATCATCAGGTAGCTCATGATGATATTTCCTATCAGCAGACCACATATTCGAGGAAAAAATTATTATACGCTCTATAAAATTATTAATATACAAAATCAGTTTTATAATTACCTCAGAAGTAGTGGAAATACGAATGGGTTCTTCACAACGGGACATAAAAAGGGCAATCGATACCATGCCCAAGACTGCAGCAGCAGAAGACATCCGCCGATAGCATTACACCTGTAGTCAGTGGCTCCACACAACTCCTTGTACAGCAAAGCCAAAACTGCCGAGCCCCAACTGAATGATCCGACCAGACGAAAGTCGCTAAGATGTCGCAAGCACATACAGTGAACTAGGTTGCGAGATTTGTCCGGCATCAGCAACCCTCCTATCAACTACAGTTGCATGCCCATACATACATCTTAACTTCATCCTCAGAGGCGTCTGCGCTAAACTCCCGAAAATTGGCATATAACCAATTTAACGGTATCCTACCTCCGATAAAACTTTCCGGGACACGTCCTAGATTATCCCGACGCAAAGTAGTCCATGAACCCTGTGAGATCCCTGATATCACATCTCCATCCACCGGAAGCCCTAGGTGCATAGCAACATCCTCAAGTGTAATCGTGCACTCTCCGCACGGAAGATGGAATGTGTGGGTCTCCGGCCTCCACCGCTCTACTAAGGCATAAATAAGGTCTGGTTCTATCTTACAGTGACCCTGATATCTACCTATATTACCAAATCCAACCTCTACTAAATACGGAAAGACACGACTAGGTATCACTAACTTGAGATTCCTAATAAAAAGATCTAATACACGGTCATTCTCCTAAAATTAAATAATTACACAAATTAATTCTTAATCTAATAATCATGTATTAAATAAATCAACAAATTATTAAAAATAATTTAAATTAAATTAAAACGTTAAAATGTTACTGATCAACAAAGTGTCGAGATATATGATTTCCTTCCAAGCGAAATAGACCACATTCCATTATATATCTGCAAAAAAAATTATATTAGTAAAATATTAAATAAAGAAAAATGCTTAAATAAATTAAATACATAATATTAAAAGATTATAAAATATACCTTAAATAGAGGGAGTATTTGAGAGAATTTGATAGAATATAGTGTGATGAAAGTAATAGAGGATGGGGGTATTTATAGGGAGGATGGGGGTAATTAAAGGTATAGCGCGTCCCCTGTGCCGCGCTATACCCCACGTGTCAGATAAATAGCTATAGCTCGGATCAGGGGCCATGCTATACCCACGTGTAAGCCATGTCAGCGTATAGCGCGGTACAGGGGGCGCGCTTTACTGCTACAGGTGTTAGATCAGAAAATATAATCTGACAAGTGTTAGATCGATAAATATACCGGTCATCTGTGATTTTTCGGAAAAAACACCCTATTATGCTCCGAAATTACTTTTTTATGTGATCAAAAGGTGGGTGGAGGATCGACCAGATTAATTAAATTGATTATGTATAGAGGGATAAAATTTATGAAATATTGAGAGTTAATTTTTTAAATTAAAATTAGATATAAAAATTGAGAATTAAGTACATAAATAAATATAATATTTTATGTTAAAATATAAATTTATAAAATTCTGAAAATAAATATAAAAACTAAAGCCTTCAAAACCCATATGGTAATCTCAAAAACCGTGTATGTATGTATTGCATTGATATGTTGGTCTAAACCCAGAGTCTTATTGTGTAGGTGCTTGAGATCCGAGCTTAACAGAGAGTCATGTCATCCCTCATTTTTTAACTCATCCTTTTCCTTTTCAATGTTTATATTTATAGGTTAAATATTAATTTTGTTGTTTTATTTAAATTTAATTTAAGATTTAGATTATTTATCTTATAATTTGACATCATTTAATATTTTTATACTATTAGTTAATACATAATTATTTTATACATTGATAATACTTTTTTATACATAGATAATTTTAATCTACTGTCAAATATAAGTAAAATTAAAAATATGAGTAGTATTTATTATAAATATTTATTGATTTAAAAATAAATGAATATAGCAATAAACATATCTTATTGTTATTTTGTGGGTTTATTGCTTAAATTTGATATTATAAATAAAATAAATTGAACTAAAAGAAAATTTTGTATAATAAATTTAGTAATATCTAATTTGAATTGATTGATTGAATAATAAATCAAATATTAGGAATTATAAAAAGAACTGTGTGGCGAATCTCTCTTGAAATATATTTCAAAACATAAAAGTTAAATGAATATAGTAATATAAATATTTATACATTAGTTAGTGGACGTTAGGTAATTAAATATTGTGTTGAGATTTAAATCTTGTCATTGTTAGTGAAATAAATTAAAATAGCGAATCACTTTTATAATACATATTCGTAGCATTTAATTTTAATTAATCGACTAATAAGTTAAATATTAAAAATTTATATAAAATGAGCTTTAATATTTTTAAAAATACATTTAAAAATACAATAAATTAAAATAAATGTATAAATATAAATATCTAACTGTTATCAAAAGCACTCAAAAACACTCTTTTTATTATTAATATGAGATAAATACAAAATAATATCTATTTAGAAATAATTTTTAACTATTTAGTATTGAACTCTTTTACTCCTGACATTCGTAGTACTCGAACAATTCACAAACACTTTTAAAATAGTAAAAAAATAAAATTATTATATTTCGTTAAAAAATGAAAGAGCATTAGCGTAACTTTATTAAACTATTCTATTGATTTTACAAATTATAATGAGCATGTTGATATTCACCCCATCCATAAAATAAGACCATGACTACTCTTCCAAATTTCAAAGACGATTTCTTTAGGAAAAAATACAAACCAAAGATGAGATCAAAAGAGTTTAATAACAATCAACTGCCTCCACAGCATTTTATTAAGAAGTGGCGATCTAGGCATGGGCAATACCACCTACGCCGTGGCCGCTCATCAAAAGCCTCCACATCATCCGCCGTATCTCCGGTCTGTCCACCCGTTCCTTTACGAAATTTCCCACTTGTCCTCCTGCCTCTTGTGTTTTTTTGAAGACACTACTTTATTGTTATTTAATTTGATCAATTATTAAGTCGGTAACATTTATATTGCGTTCGATCTGATTTGTTTTGACAAATTTTATGGGAAAAGAACTCTAAAAGAAAAAAAGAAGAATATTATTAATAGATTTAAAATTCATGACCTAAATAAATATGAAAGAATAAAAATAACAATTCGACTAACTATGTTTATTCTATACTAAATCTGATTTGAGATTACATCAAATCAATAATTTACATAAAAATTAAATATATCTTTTATTAATAGGGTTGTTACTTAAAATGTTATATGCAAGAGTTAGTCTTAACTTATTCTAATATCAGTCCAAATGTTATACTATTTTTATTAATATATCTATATTTGTTTTCTATAACTTTATCACTTTTTTATATTATTAGACTTTATCGTAAATTTTATTTTATATATTTAAATTATATTTATTTTTAATAGAAAAATAGATGCTCTTTATATGATCTTCTAACGCCATCTCTTTAGGATATTTTTTCATTATACATTTTTTTATCTGTTCATACTTTTTTTTGAAATAATCATTGATATTCGATCTATTGATCGACTAACCCAGATCAAGTACTCTTAAGTGGCTAGTGCCTCATCCCACTAGACCAACTAGTTGTTATTTTATCTGTTCATACTTTAGACTTTCGGATTAGTTATCTTATATTGATATGCACTTATAATCATTTCAAATAAATCGTGTTTGAGTTATGGTAAAATCAATTTGTTAATATATTATTATTATTATTATTATTTTGAAAAACAAAAATGAATCTACGAAAAAAAACCTTATACCTCGATCAAATCAATACTCAATCAAGACAACAGAAGAGGAAAAGAGTGCGCATGAAATTCATTAACTAAAGCCAAGTCACGGCAATAATATCCAAAGATCAATACAATTTAATCGCACGAATCGATCTTAAGTTACCCCAACACCCAATCCCCAAACAGAAATTGCAACAAAACAAAATATAAAACCTATAAACCATTCACCAATACATTAAGAACCTGCTTCAAAGAATCCTCTTGGGGACAACGCAAGGATGTATGAATTAGCACTACCCTTTAACTTTGAAAATCAAGCAAGTTTGCTCATTTTACCTTGGTTGGATTGGAACAATATTGAAGGCAGAAGTCACAACCTCCACAAACAATTCACCAATGCATCAAGAACCTCAGTTGGAAAGAACCAAGGTTGAAGTCAGAACTGCATAGGTCCTCCCTTGCCAGGAAACAAACAGCAATCACAACCTCCACATAGCTTCACGACAACCCTCTTAGTGCCCCCAAGGAAAACAAAAAGCAAGAAACGAAATTAGCTTATATGAATATTTATCTTTACGGCTAGCAATGATATTTATTTGAATTTATTATTTTTTAATTTTTTTATATAATTGTATATTATTTAATGATTAATTTGTGTTTCTTAATAGTAAATGATAGCACTAACCCAAGAAAAAGAAGGAAAGACTAAACAAAAAGGCCTATCAACAATGGGCCAATAAACTCAAACTTATTAAGTGACACGTGGCAAAATCAAACAACCACGAGCGGGGGTAAAAAAGGAAAAGGAAATTCGCATTGGCAGTCAGGTGAGAGTATCGAATCGAGGAGTAAAACCTCTCAAGTAACGAATACGAACCTTCTGGTAAGTGGCACCTAATATAAAAGACAGACCCAACCAAAAAAATGGCTACCACTCTCTGCTGCAGGGCGTTTGTTTCGTCCACCACCGTACGACGCCGTTCTCAACTGGTCGGTGCGTTTTCCACTCTCTCTTCTCCTTCTTCCTCTTCTTACATCAGAACGGGTTGCGCCCAGTCTCTCCCCTTTGTTCGTCTCTTAAGGTAGTGGTTTATCAGTATCTCAACCACACAATTCAACTTTATATTGCTGATTTGATGTTAATTTAGCCTCTAATATCCTTTGAGATTCTTGTTTTAGATCGAAGTTTAGTTCCCGATCACCAGATAAGACCTTCCGTGCTGTAAAAATGGAAGCGAATAGCGACACTGTTCCGAGCATCGTTGTTTATGTTACTGTTCCAAACAGAGAAGCAGGTGAAAAGAGTTATAGAATCTGGGTTTGGGGGAAAGGAGTCATATTTCACACTATCTCAGGATTTGGGAATTTAAAGCTAATTCCTAAATATTTTCAAATTTTTTTCACCTCCTCTATTCTAATCCTATCGTGGAGTTCGTTTTTCTGTATTGAAAGTTTTTTAAATAGTTGAATTCTTTAAAGTACATTTCTAATTTGACTCATGCAGGTAGGAAGCTGGCTGGAAGCATTGTCAAAGAGAAACTTGCAGCATGTGTAAATATAGTACCAGGTTTGATTTTTGAGTGCCATTGTACAAAATGTTTCAGCTATTTGAAATATATTATTTTGTGTTATGTGTTCTTATTAAGGGTTCGAATGTCAATGTAAGCTTTCACTTATGCAAATAAACATTGAAATCATTCAGCAGTTGGCTTCAAATAATGACAGACCTTTAAGGACCTCTAGATTTTATAATCATTTGAAGAATAGTTACTGAAATAGATCTCTCATGAATCATGAATATATTGTGAATGCAGGTGTAGAATCAGTGTATGAATGGGAGGGAAAGGTATGAACTTTCGTTTGTATATATTGCTTTTGTTGGAGTGATGCAAGTAAACCATTAAGCCTTAAGTTTTCATGACAACTTGAGAAATTTTTTAGAATCTAGCACAGAAGTCCTATTTTAACTTATAGAGTTTTTTGCATGGCACCCAATCCAAGAATTACTTATGATCTTGTGTTAAAGCTAAGTTTATTGTTCATTTATAAAAGAGAGAACAAAGTAGATAGGTTATGCCGTTGCTTCTTTAACCAAATTTTTTGCTCTATTGGCTCTGCAGATCAACACAGATCCTGAGGAACTGCTGATAATCAAGACAAGGCAATCCCTTCTGCCAGCACTCACAGAACATGTCAAGGCAAACCACGAATACGAGTAAGCCTAAAGCCTCTTCAAAATTTTCAACTAAGATGTTGTAAAGGTTTTGAATTTTCAACTACTACATTGATAAGACCATAAAACTTTTTGTTGAACCCCCTTAAAGCTAAGACAGCCTTCTTTAAAATGAAGAATCAAGAATACAATGAATCTACGCTGGTTAGATTGTTTTATTGATCTTGTACTTGCCTTTATTATTATTATTTTTCAGTGTACCAGAAGTAATTGCCTTACCCATCAATGGTGGCAGCCCCCAGTATCTAGAATGGCTTAAGAACAGTACAAGGGATTGAATTTCTCCAATCTAGTATGATGGCGTGAGTATGTGAGCGAGTGAAACCAGTTTAAGTATTTGCTTCTAATGGTTCTGGATCTCATGTATAGTTTGTGTGAAATGTATGGCTTCTTCCAGCTTGAGTAAAGGAGGCTTTCGATGTTAAAATCTAAAATCTATTTATAATAAGAAATGTATCATAGTTTAAGAGTCGGTTACTTTTGAATCAAGACAAGGGATTTGCATTGTTAAATACATTTTATGATCTGTCGTTGTTAATCCCTTAATTTCCTTTGGTTTCTATTCTAATTCTACTTATGATTTCTGTTTTTAAACCCTCTATTTCAACTAATTACTCTATTTCTACTAATTAATGTACATTCTACCTTTGTTTTTATTATTATACAACCCCCAAGAACCTCTGGAAACAGTCTGTGCCCCTCCTTTCCAGAGGGGTCGTCCCGAAAGAATCACTCGGACCCTAAAAAACCGAGGGGCATTGCTCTTAAACATTCTAAAATCACCAGCTAATAGTTAATGAGATGAGATTGACAACCACTGTTTCACCCTGGGCACCATGTCTCCAGCTGTCACTTGGAAAATATAGGGAACGATGATAGCAGGAAGAATAAAGGAAAGGGTAAACTACACCTTTAGTACCTAAACTATCTAAACTTTATTTTTTTTTCAAAATCATACCTAACGTGTAGTTTAAGTTTTATTTTAATATTTCGTCGTTAAAAGCTTAACGAGACTGTTGCATGGGACATTTTTATGGTTTTCACTTTTATTTTAATCACTAAAGTCTAAAAATTTTCAACTTAACAACTCAACCTTTAAATTATTCTTTTTTAATCACTCTAATATATTTTATTAATAAATTTTATGATATGATATTTTTTATTATTAATTTATTAATATATAATTAAAATAAAAAAATAAATTTGAAAGTTAGAGTGATTAAATTATGAAAAAATTAAAAATTAAGTAAATAAATTAAAAAATTAAACTTCAATGATCAAAATAAGAGTGAGAAGATAGTTTACCCATTAAAAGTGTCACCTACACAAATTCCACTAAGTTTTTTAAAAAAAATGTAATAAAATGAAACAAAAAATAAATGTCATATACGATTTCGAAAAAAAATAAACGTTTAGATACTAAAATGGGATAAAAATAATAGTTAAGGTACTAAACCTATAGTTTATCCTAAAGAAAAAAGGCCTCTCATGTGGATCTCTCATTTTCTTCCAATGTAACCTGAGTTACCTCGCCAGAATCGGATCTCACTACCCAAAATACAACCACAGTCACCATTATTCCCAAGCAAGCTCTCCACTGGGATGCTGTCACGCCCTAATTTAAGGGCTAAATTTTAATAATTTTAAGTATCGAATTAAAGTTATAATAAGGGAAAAGTTAGGGACCAATTTGTAAATTCTTAAAAGTTTGTAGCTTGATTTTAGAACTTGTGGGAAGTTCAGGGACTTGAACTTGAATTTTACCAATTTTTATTACACAACAAAAATAAACCCCTAAATGGTTAATCCTAAATTATCAACCTCAAAAATAAAAATCCCTAAACCCCCAAAATTCCTTCTCCCGTCGGCATCTTTACCGACTCAATCCGTTGCCGTCCGGTCACCCTAGCTCGAGCCGCCATGACCAATAGACTCACCGTCGAATGGTGATCAAAACCCGACCTCTATCTCATCTTGAATCGTCGTCGTTCACCATGGAAGAGCCAACAAAAGCCCCATCGAAAGTCCCTGACGCCGCCACGAATTTCGCGAATTTACAGTCGATCCAATGGTCATTCCACCTCACTGTCTCCAGCACGATGTTCCCCAGGAAATTTCGACCAGAACCCGACCGGAGCTGTCGTCGATCATTGCGCCGTCGTCATCCGTCGATGGAAGGGTAAGTTCGAACATTTTTCGGTTAAAAATGGCATGGTTTTGACTTATTTTTTATTAGTTTGGATTGATAACGGTGTGCAACAGCTCGTTGACTACTCGGCCGACCAACCGGACCCCCATCGTCGCCGCTACACGTCGACAATGCGTGTGGGATTCTTGCCATGCCCTGGAAGCTTTTGGACCGACCCGAACCGGTCAATCCGACCCGACCTTCATGGTTCAGTCCATTCATTGAGTTAACCTGTTGACCGTTGACTTTGATCGAAAAAGTCAAATTTTTCAAAAAACTCTATTTTATGTTTTTCGACGTCCCGAGTCTGAATCCGAAGTCCGTTTTGCCAAATTCACACCAGGTAAGCTGTTTTTCAGTATTTACTTTCGGATTCAATATTGTTTCTTAATTAAGTTTAGTTTCTGATGCAAAATCGTTTGCTATGTATCCGAGAAAATATTTGACATTGAATGAGTGATCGAATGAAGATTAAATGTTTGATCGATGGAATAAAAAAAATTGAGGTAATACTCTACTACCTTTTGTATGCTTTTCGGAACTCACTGATAAATGGTAAATGCATAAATGTAAAAGATTGGTCCATTAGGTGTAGTTAACTATCATTGGACTCAAACGAAAATTGTGTTAAAAACATTTTGATGTTTCGATATAACAAATTAAATTAAAAGAATTTTAATTTTGAAAAAGATTTTTTAAAGCATATTCGATATATTAAATCGAATATCAAAATATTACTCAAAGTATTTCAAAGTTCATTTTAAATCCTTACTCAAGTGTAAAATTAAGTTTTAATCTTAAAATAATTTCAAAACGATTTTATAAAATATTTCGAACTATTTCAAAGCCAAAAATTCCAGATTGCTCAGAGGGAACTGATTCCCCCCCCAAGGGGGTACCGATTCCCCCCTGAATGGTTTGGCTCCGAGAATTCCAGTATGCTCGGAGGGAACCGATTCCCCCCAGGGGGTACCGATTCCCCCCACTGTTCAACGGTCGAAATATTTGAATTTTACACTTAGGGAACTGATTCCCCATTAGGGGTACCAATTCCCCCCACGCTCCAAGCAGAAATATTAATTGTTTTCACACTTAAACGGCTCCAAAAACTTCATTAATGATCCCCAACGTTTAGAAGTGATTCAAGGTGTATTTAAGCAAGCTTAGAAGCCATTGATCAATAACAAAAAACATCAAGCAACTAGAATCAAGAGAGAATCAAAGAGAAAGCATCAAACCTCAAGTTTGAGCATTTCAAGCCTATTTTTCATTCAATATTCATTTTGCTTTCAAGAACACTTATTGTGCTCAATTGTATTCATTCTTGAGTATTCTTTTCTTTGTTCTAGAATTGTGCAAACAATCTACCTTGTGAGGATTTCCTTGTAAGTTTGCAAATTTGTATTATTCTCTTTGGGAGAGAGTGTTCTCAAGAATTTGGGGTGTAATTCTTGAGGGTTTGTAAGGTTACTATTTGTCCTTAAAAGAAAGACAAATTAGTGAATCTGTGGAAAATCCTTAGTGTGGATAGCTAAGGTAGTGGACGTAGACTTTGGTTGAGAAAGTCGAACCACTCTAAATCGCTGTGCAAATTTCTTTCAATTTTCTGCAAAAGCTTCCACCAAAATTTTAATTGCCAATTCACCCCCTCTTGGCCATATTCGTCAATCGATTAACTCAACAATTGGCATCAGAGCCTAACTCATTTGAAGGTTTAATCACCTATTGAGTCGATTCGGGAAGAGTTACATCGATAATCAAAGTCATCAATGACCTCTACTTCAAACTTCGACTCCGGTATCGATTCGATGCCCATCAACAAGCCTCCTTTCTTCAATGGGGCTAACTATGCCTATTGGAAAAATAGGATAATGTACTTCATTCAAGCAAGTGACATGGGAGCATGGAATGTCGTAGTAGAAGGATACATCAAGCCTCTCACTCATCCAAGATTGTGGAGTGAATGAGAGACAAAAATGTTCCAGCTCAACTCCAAAGCCATCCATATCATATTTTGTACTCTTGGACCAGATGAATACGGAAGAGTTTCATCTTGTACAACCGCCAAAGAAATATGGGACAAACTTCAAGTCACTCATGAGGGTACCGATGAGGTAAAGAAATCTAAAATTAGTATTCTAACGCATAGCTATGAAAATTTCAGGATGAAACCAAATGAAGATATCAAAGCTATGACGGATAGATTCTCAATGATTGTCAATGGTCTCAAATCATATGGAGAGATCATTTCAAATAAAAATATTATGAAGAAGTTAGTCTACTCCCTCCCAAAATCGTGGCAATCAAAGAAGATGATAATCATCGAGTCTAAGGATATAACGTCCTTAACTCTTGAAGAGCTAATCGGTTCACTCCTCACTCATGAAATGATGCTTGAAGATGAGGTGGACCTTGATAAGATTGAAGAGACACCAAAGAAGAAGGAGAAGAAGAAAAACATTGGAGTTTCTCTCAAATCCACAAAAGATGAGAGTGATTCGGATGAAGATGATGATGACGAGGAAATGACATTGTTTGCCAAACAATTCAGAAAAATGATGAGACCTTACCGAGGAATAAAATTCAAACGAAATGAAGGCCTAAAAAATGAACCAAAAGAGAAGGACTCGATCATTTGCTATGAATGCTAAAAGCCAAGGCATGTCAAATATGATTGCCCACAATTGAAGAGAAAAGGTCAATCAAAGAATAAGCACAAGGCTCATGTGGCTACATGGAGCGATGAAGAAGGTTCCGATGAAGAGGAACAAGAAGTAGCAAACTTGTGCTTGATGGCATTCGAGGAAGATTCTAATGTAACCTCTAACTCATCTGATTTTGATGATTTATCCTATGATGAGTTATTAGAGGAATATAATGGGTTGGCTTCGGATTATGAGAAATTGTTTTTAAAATATAAAAATGATGTTTCAAAATTGAAAAATGAAAATAAACTCATATCCAAAACCAACAACGATCTTGAAAGTAAAATCAAAGATTTGCAAATCAAATTAGAAGAGTTTGAAAAGAAAATTTTGGATTTGCAAAATTTACTTTCAAAGGTCAATGATGATCATCAAAAGAAAATTGATGATCTTAAAGCCTCTTTTGATAAAGTTGGAACAAAACATTTTGAAAATGGAGAAAATTCAAAATCCAACTTTGTTAGAAAAAGTTTTAAAAACTACAATCATAGAGGTCCCCAAATAACCTCTAATGAAAAAATCGTTAGAAGTATA